TATATATATATATATATATATATATATTATGTTTGTTCGTTATGTATCTATCTCTGTTAATTATCTATCTATCGATCTGTCTAAACTAGTCTCATCATATCTATCTATCTATCTATCTATCTATCTATCTATCTATCTAGTTAGCTAGCCAGCTAGCTATCTACTTTGCCCTACTTTGTTCACATGTCTATTCACCGATCTATTACAAGTGTTTGGTGAGTGTAATTATTTTGTGTTTAACTGCGGAACAATAAATTAGTGTTCGATGCGGATAAAACTTGAATGGATTTCACTGAAGATGTGTTGCTTTGCTTGTGTCGAATGTGTCGACAACCGAGACAAGAAATAATTCGAAATGTGTGCAAATGATTAGCAGAGTTGTTTTTAATAAGATTTGCGAGTTTTTACCTTTTTTTTTTTTTTTTTTTTTTTCGTCACGAATTGCGTTGTTTATTTGATATGTTGTCAGTTGCAAAAGAGAACGATTCTTTTATTTAAAGTTTTGCAATTGACGTCTGGTGTTAATTAGCAACCACCTATTTTCTTATGCATCTTCTTTGTTTGTGAACGAAAACCAAATGTGTGAAAATATGACAAGAATCATTTTATTAATTATCCGTACATCATTAATAAGATGAAGAATCAATTCCTAATAAGGAAAAATTGTTCATTCCATAAATTTGGAAGAAATAATAATAATAATAATAATAATAATAATAATAATAATAATAATAATAGTAATAATAATAATAATAATAACAACAGTTGCTACGTAGTGCAGGGTTAAAAGCTGAAACCGAAGATTTTATCTTTGCTGCACAGGACCAATGCTTGTTAACTAGGAATTATCAAGCACATATACTAAAATATTGTGTTAGCCCAAACTGCAGATTCTGTGATAAATATCCAGAAACAGGTGACCATCTGCAACTTCTACGGGAAGGAAATTGAAAGAAATTGGTATGAACACCACCCAGACCCGATTACGAAGATAGGACCTGTTACAATTCTATGGGACTACACAATACACACTGAAAGAACAATCAAAGCCAACCGCCAAGACATTGTTATTAGAGAACGTAAACAATAAATGGTCCTCCTTATTGATATATCAGTCCCTGCATATTGCAATGTATCTTTGAAGATCTTCAAAAAGATATCAAAATACAAGGACCTTGAAATCGAAATCTCAAAAATGTGGCACATGGGAATATCAACAATCCCTGTTGTAGTTGGATCCCTCGGATTGGTTGGAAAAGATTCCAGTAGACAAAATGAAGGGATTCCTGGAACCCCATGTCTCAAAAAAATACAAAAAATTGTCCACTCTTTACGAAGGGATTTATCTATGTAAAATATAAGTTTTTTCGTTTTTTTTTTTTTTTTTTTTTGTCAGTGGAAAGAGTCATGATGCCATTTCTAACCTTGGGTCTCTGGGCAGGACCCGGAAAGAAATGTGTACACGCCAGAAATCAAACGAAATAATAGTAATAATGATAATAACAGTTGCTACGTAGTGCAGGGTTAAAAGCTTAAACCGAAGCTTTTATCTTTGCTGCACAGGACCAATGCTTGTTAACTAGAAATTATCAAATTGTGTATTTGGGAGGCGATTCCTCTTATATACAAGTTTCGAAAGACGACAGAAAAGATACTGTGATTAAGCTTTTTTTAATTTGTCTTGTGTTCGTACAAGTGTTTTCATTACTGGCCAAATGTCCTGCATATATGAACGCTTTCGGCTCTTCTTTTATCCATTATCAAGGACGATTTTTATTTTTAACTGAATCTGTGAATCTTTATGTATGTAACTGAAATTATAGGAATGTTTTATTTTCTAAACATGGTCAACACGTTGTGGCCGTGTCTATAGTTAATGTTACTGAGTGTTGGCTTTTTCTTATTTTATTATTACATGTAGATAAGGCTAAAATGTTGCAGATGGTAGGTTTCCGTGTGTGTGCTTAAATGAGTCTGAATTGAGTTATGTTCAGATAGGTGGAACGTGAGTCGTCTAGATAGGCATGTAGTGGTATGACCAATATAATTATTTATGAGTTTGGTTTGGTAAGGAACTCAGTTCCTTGAGGGGCATGTGTAAGAAAACAAGAAAAATTAAATAAAAATATTAATCGCGGTGACTTAACGAATTAACGAAACGTGGACTTACAGGGTTCGATTGGTAAATTGTCACCATTTTATACTTTCAGTTTCACGTATGTGCTTTGTTTGTTTGTTTTTTTTATTTTGTCGACTGTACAGTATAGGAGGGTGAGTTGTGTACTGTCTGTGAGAAAAAGAGCACCATGCCGTATTTAACTTCGCCAGAAATTAGGAAACGTCATACTGTACTGCTTGGCATTCGCACTGGAAGTTCCAATATGAACATTTCAGAGTGTTTAGATATCAATCTGAGGACAGTGTAGAGTACTTGGAAAGAGTTGGATGAGTCGAATGGTGATTACGAAGGTGTTTGGAAAGATCACTAGTGATGGCGAAG